AGAATATCAGCACAAAGAAAATACCAGGTTTAACTAGAAGGACCTGATAAAGACATATCCTACTGCACAGTTCATTGCTCAGAGAGCAAGCAGGGAAGTGAAAAATATACCATGAATGTCCATTGTTTGTGAATGGCTAGGGTTGGGTCAAGTAAGGCTAGCCATATAGAATATCAGCCCTATTATAGTTCCCAAGAAAACACCGCACACATTCTAAAGATTAGCAAAGGGACTACAGCACACTAAAAAGGGAGGGGGGATGAGAATGCCTCGTTTGATTATTGATTTAATTTACAAATGTGAAAAGGAGTGTAGTGTGGTACATGGGATGTCATGTATTCTAAGTATATATAATGCAGGGTCTGTTTCATGGTAACAGAATTCAAAAATTAGGATTTTATCTAACCTTTGAGCAACATAAGAAAATTTCAGGCCTGGCACAGTGGCTCACACCTGTAATGCCAGCACTTTGGGAGGCTGAGGCAGGAGGATCTCTTGAAGCCAGGAGTTTGAGACTATCCTGGGCAACAAAGGAAAACCCTATCTCTACAGATAAAGAAAGAAATGATAAATTAAAAAAATAAAATTGAAACTAGTTCCACAAGAGGCATTGGGGGCTATTAATTTAATTGAATCATTCATAGATATTACCATTTTAAGGGTATATTGGTATGAGCTAAAGGTTATCTGGACACTGTTTGGAAAACAGAAACATGTACATGTGACAGTTACTCTAAGGGTTTATTCTAAAAAGAAAAAATCTGATGGGTGAACATTTGCTTCCTTGGGTTATGTGCTATAATGGCCCCAACATAATTTTCCTGAAAAATGACTATATGGGTTACCAAAACAAACATATACATCACTGCAACACTTTGTCGTAACATATGCAGTGCTTTAAGCCAACTCAAAGATGTATAATGTAGAACTGGAATCATTTCCTAGACAGAGGACCACTAGCAATAACCTTTAATAGCCCAGGGTCTCCAGGGGCACATTTAAGGCAGGATTCCTAGAGGCTGCATTTCGGCAGCCACTGTGGAATGAAATAAACACTTTGGAGCAGAGCAGGAAGTCCCGCTGTTCAGCACTAGCTGGTTTCAAGCCAATGGTTCCTAATCTCAATGAGCAGCAGCTGTCATAGCCATTCTGTAGGGATGTCTTTTTGAAAGTTCTTAAAGATCTTAATTGTGACCTTCCCCTCTGGCTCTAAGTAAGGTTCTTCTTGCTCACCTGTCATATAATTGGGAGCACTCAATTTCATGATCAGCAACACAAAATGAAGTGGAGAATACTCTTATTAAATAAGCTGGAAGAAAGGGACAATCAGAGAGACAGGCGGCATGATGTACTAGAAAGAGAAGTGGTCCTCCTGGCAAAACCTGATGCAAGGGACAGGCTGCTGCGACCTGGTACAGACAACTCATCAGTAAATCTACTTAACATGCCTCTTTGGAGAGTATTGTCTTAGTCCTTTTGAGTGGCTATAACAAAATGCACTCATCCCTTGATACCTGTGGGGGACTGGTTCCAGAACCTCCTGTGGATACCAAAACTCGATGATGCTCAAATCCCTGTTAAAAAATGGTGTAGTATTTGCATATAACCTATGTACGTCCTTTCATATAATTTAAATCATAGGTAGATTACTTATAAAATGTAATACAATGTAAATGCTAGGTAAATGATCATCATGCTGTGTTGTTTAAGGAATAATGACGAGAATATTCTGTACATTTTTAGTACAAATGCAATAATTTTTCCAAATATTTTTGATCCATGGTTACTTGAATCCACAAATGCAGAATCCACAGGTATGGGGGGATGACTGCACCTTAGACTAGGTAATTTATAAACAATAGAAATGTATTGTCCACAGTTCTGGAGGCTGGGACACCTAAGATCAAGGTGCCAGCAGCTTCAGTGTCTGGTGAGGGCTTGCTCATCAGAGATGACACCTTCTTGCTGCATTTTCACAAGGCAGAAGAGCAGACAAGCTTCCTCCAGCCTCTCATAAGGGCACTAATCCCATTCATGACGTCTCCGTCCTCATGATCTAATCACCTCCTAAAGACCCCACCTCTTGTAGTACTATTGCATTGGAGGTTAGGTTTCAACATATGAATTCTTGGGGATACAAATATTCAGACCACAGGAAGTATCTTTTTATGAAAATAAGCATGTGTAAAGAAGGCATTTGGACTGTGTTAACTTCTCAACATAAAGCACAATTGCAAAAATTCTTAGTTGAATCACTTTGGAGTCTATTCAAGACAATTTCTCATATTAAGGCCTCAGCCTGCCATTCCAAAGATACCTTCCTGTGAACCTGCTCTCAAGCACTGAATGAACTGCTAGGCTGGCACACCAGCCGCACCCCCACCTGGCCAACTTCCAGCCTGTGCCTCTAATCATGCCTTCTCCCATCTCTACCTACTGAAATCCCATGCAGCCTTCCACATTCAGCTCAAATGCCATCTTCTTCATGAAATTTTCTATCAAAGGGGCTGAGAGACAGAAGAGGGAGAGGGATGAGAGCCAGGGAGAGATTTGCTGCCACTTGATGGCTTTAGCTTTGCAAAGGCAGCAAGAAACACAGTGGCCTGAGTCTGAAAACCAACATGGTGAGATTTCCCAACAGTGGCACAGGCACTAAAAAGGCAGTGAAAGCTCAGCCAGTGAGGTGTTAAAATACAGGCAGGGTGACCTGGACAGATGGTGCAGGGTGACCTGGACAGATGGTCCAGGCTATCACAGACAGAATTTTCACACTGGGTGGGGGTTACAAGGGATGACCCTACATCCCTTCCATGCTTCTAAGTTGTGTCATGGCCATGGGTTCAAAACAGTAAGTTTCAAGTTACAGGCAAATTTTGTTGAAGGTCCAGTTTATGATTCTCTAATCTTACCTGCCCACTTTCCTGATAAATTTATTTAAAAAGAAATACAGCCTTCAGCCTAGCTACTTTGGAGGCTGAGGTGGGAGGATCGCTTGAGCCCAGAAGTTCAAGGCTGCAGTGAGCCATGATTGCACCACTATACTCCATCATGGGGCAACAGAACAAGACTGTCTCTTAAAAAAAAAAAAAAAGTGTTTAAGTAATATAAGCCATTTTATAAAAGGTGGTGAGAAAGCAACATAGCAGCATAAGAGCAAAGGCTTTAAAGTCAGCCTGCACATGGATATGAATCCTTGTTTTAGACAAGTTATATAACCACTGCCGGTCTCACTTTCCTCACCTGTAAAGTGGGCTTAAGAACAGAACATCATAAGGGGTTGATGTAAGGAGTATATGAGTTAATACACATAAAGCAGTTAGTGTAGTATATAGCATATAGCAAGCATGCAATAACAGTTCATTACTATCAATATCACTACCATTATTAAAGTGCTTTGCAGGTCCTGACACATGGAAAATATATAATAAATAACAACTACCAAGATTTAAAAATTTTTTTTTATAGAGATGGGGTTTCCCTATGTTGCCCAGGCTTATCTTGAACTCCTGAGCTCAAGTGATCTGTTCACCTCAGCTTCCCAAAGTCCTGGGAATACAGGCATGAGCCACTGCCCCCAGCCCATCAATATTATTATAATACATGTAAGTTTATATATTAAATGCCATTCATTTTAAGTAAGATAAATACATAATCATTCATTTTAAAGATTAATCTTAGATTCATTGTAAAGCAAATATTTAAAGACATCATTACAAAAGTAGAATTTGGTATACAGGCCCCCTCTGGTTAAGGGATAATAGTGGTTAGTTATTACCATTTTATAGATCATAAAACTCAAAGATTCTATTAATTGCCCAAGGTCACACAGTGGAGAAACTAAAACTAGAACTGAGTCTTTAGTTTCTAAGTTCCTTCTTCCTTCCATGAACCATGCAAATAAAAATAAAATAAATTGGAAGTATGGTAGCATGCCAAGAGTTAATCTATTCATCCAGCTGAGAGATGTGTTTCTTCCTTCTCTGTTTAACATTTCTGAGGCTTTTATCTCCTTTATGTGAAAAAGACAAGAAATCTTTATTCTACATGTAATGAGGGATCTCCTCCCATAAAACATGGCAGATTGAACACATGTAATGATTAGTCAGGATGCAGATTCTACTGATAATGAATGAAATAAAATGGAGTTGTACTTCTCTTCCATATTACAAGAAGTATTAGAAGGCCTAGATGGCCAGGCACAGTGGTCCACACTTGTAATCCCAGCACTTTGGGAGGCCAAGGTGGGAGAATTGCTTGAGGCCAGGAGGTCTAGGCCAGCCTGGACAACATAGCAAGACCCTCTCTTAAAAAAAAAAAAAAAAAAAAAAACAAAGGCCAAGGCTAACAGGGTACCCTTCAATGTTGGAAACTCATATTCCTTCCCTTCTGGTGCTGAGCCTTTCCAGGATGCCACTCTCTTCTGCATGGTTGAGGCTAGTTCACTGCGATAGCCATGTTCCTTCCAGGCAACAAGAAAAGACATGCCTCTTGCCTTTAAGAGCATGATTTAGGGCCAGGTGCAGTGGCTCAGGCCTGTAATCCCATCACTTTGGAAGGCCAAGGCAGGCAGATTGCTTGAACCCGGGAGACCGAGGTTGCAGTGAGCTGAGATGTCACCACTGTATTCCAGCCTTGGTGACAGAATGAGACTCTGTCAAAAAAAAAAAAAAAAAAAACCTAATACAAACAATATTTCACTGTAGCAAGCTGAAAGGATATGCTGCCAGGAATGAAGGAAAGAAAGATGTCAGCTGTTTGGGGTAGGGGATGAGGGTGGCTCCTCAGATCTCCAGGTCCTCGCAGGACACATGCTCAAGGTGGTGAAGACCTTCTACTTGCCTACAGTGACATCCTGCAGGAAGCCTAAAGAGGCATTTTCAAGTCTCTGCTGCTTCCAGTCTGGTCATCCTGAAACTTCAACATCATTACTATACATGACTGCAAAATCATCTTGCATAAGTTGCAGAATCTAACATCTAGGTCAAGGTACAACTTCATACCATACCACACCTCCATCTTGCTTCACTGTTCACAGTTATATTGAAAATGACAGGCATCACCCATGCACAGCTGTATGGCAGCATTGTAGCAATGTTACTAGGCACAGTTATCTCCAGCATTACATGGCCTGGGAGGTTGTGAACAGGATCTGCCAAAAAGCACAAAGATAGTTAAGCCAAAGTGGGTAAAAGGCAATTATTATTTTCAGGAAAAACAAATATTGGACAAGATAGGGAGTATAGTATATTATATGGCTCTGCTGTAATAACTATATGATCATAATCATATTAATTTAACCAAAAACTGTGATATAACTGTATCAAGGGGATAGGAAAAAAGGAAGTGGGAAGAAAAGAAAGCGTGTAAGAGAACTAGATCCTCATTTCACAGTAATAAATCACTAGGAATAGTGACTCATACTGGTAAGTCAAGAAACAGTGTTACATTCCTTTTTCTTTTTCTCTCCCTTCTTTCTTCCCTTCCTTCCTTCCTTCCTTTATTTCTTTCTAGATGTATGTAGATAAATATCAGAAGAAACAGCTAAGAATTTACAGTGCTTACCTTTGGAGACGAGCCGTGGAACAGGAAAAAAGAAGCAAAGTGATGTGGGCTCCATGCTTGCACAGCCTGCAGAACCATGAGCCAGTTAAATCTTGTTTGGTTTTTTTTTTTTTTTAGTTTTTAAATTTTACTTTAAGTTCTGGGATACATGTGCAGAATGTGCAGGTTTGTTACATAGGTATACATGTGCCATGGCAGTTTGCTGCACCTGTCAACCCATCATCTAGGTTTTAAGCTCCACATGCATTAGGTATTTGTCCGAATGCTCTCCCTCCCCTCGCCCCCCATCCCCAAACGGGCCCTGGTGTGAGATGTTCCCCTCCCTGTGTTATCATTGTTCAACTCCCACTTATGAGTGAGAACATGTGGTGTTTGGTTTTCTGTTCCTGTGTTAGTTTGCCAAGAATTATGGCTTCCAGCGTCATCCATGTCACTGCAAAGGACATGAACTCATTCTTTTTGATGACTGCATAGTATTCCATGGTGTATATGTGCCACATTTTCTTTATCCAGTCTATCATTGATGGGTATTTGGGTTGGTTCCAAGTCTTTGCTATTGTAAATAGTGCAATCTCTTTTCTTTATAAATTACCCAGCCTCAAGTATTTCTTAATAGCAATGCAAGAATGCAACAGAGACATAAGAGAAAGGGCCCCTTGCACTGTCCACCTTTGTACCATGTTCAAATATTACTTATGTTTTTAAATATTTGAAAAGCAAAAATAAATAAAAAGCAAATAAAGTAAAACATCTGAGGAAGAAACCTGGTTTAGCTGATCTTAAGAATGCTTCAGAAAACTTAAGAAAGATGTTAACTTAAGAAAGATGTTTGGAGATAAATTCACTTAAGAAAGACGTTAAGAAAGATGTTTGGAGATAACTACTGACTCTTGTTAACCACTTTTCATGAACAATTTCAAGGGGATTTATCTACCTATCACCAAGCCCTGAGTTATCAGGTAGATGGCAAGCTTCCAGAGAGAAGAAGGCATGGGTTTTTGTACCTCTCCTGTGATCTAGCCAAGCCTCTGGAAGAGAATATGTACTTGAGAAATATTAGGTCCCATTCAAAAATAAATATTCCAAAATAAGTAAATATTTAATACAGTAAACTGATCTTTGACAAAGGTGCCAAGAATACACAATGGGGAAAGGACAGCCTCTTCAATAAATGGCGAAGGAAAAACTGGATATCCACATGCAAAAGAATGAAATTGAGCTTCTGTCTTACACTACTCACAAAAAATAATTTGACATAGATTAAAGACTTCTATGTAAGACCTGAAACTGTAAAAATGTAGAATAAAACCTAGGAGAAAGTTCCTCGACATTGGTCTAGGGAATGATTTTTTTGGATATGACCTCAAAAGCAGAGGCAACAAAATAAATAAATAAATAAGCAAATGGGATGGCATCAAACTAAAAATCTTCTTCACAGCAAAGGAACAATCAACAAAATGAAAAGGTAACTTATGAAATGGTGAAAATATTTGCAAACCATATGTCCTATTAGGATTTAATATCCAAAATATATCAGGAACTCCTCATACAACTCAATAGCAAAAAAAAAAAAAAAAAAAAAAAAAAAAAAACCTCAATTAAAAATGGGCAAATGACCTGAACAGACATTGTTCCAAAGAAAGATAAATGGCCAACAGGTACACATGCACATGAAAGGTGCTTAGCATCACTAGTCATCAGGGAAATGCAGATCAAAACCACAAAGAGATATCACCTCACATCTGTTAGGTTAGCTGTTATCAAAAAGACAAGATTAAAAGCATTGACAAGGATGTGGAGAAACGAGATTATTGTACGCTACTGGTGAAAATGAAATTTGATAGGGCCAGTACAGAAAACAGTATGGAGGTTCTTCAAAATATTGAAAATAGAACCATCTTATGATCCAGCAACCCATCTTCTGGGTATATATCCTTCTGGGTATATATCCTGGGTATATATCCTAAACAGTAGCTTCAGATATATCTGCACTCCTATGGTCATTGCACCATTATTCACTATAGCCAGGACATGGAAACAACTTAAATGTCCATTGATGAATTAATGGATAAAGAAATTGTGCGTGTGTGTGTGCATGTGTATATATGTATATATCAGATTGGTGCAAAAGTAATTGCAGTTTTTGCCATTATATACAGTCATTAAAAAGAAGGAAAGAAGGAAATCCTGCCATTGGTGACAACACGGATGGACCTTGAGAGCATTATGCTAATAAGTGAAACAAGTCAGACAAGGAAAGAGAAATGTATAAGCTCACTTAAATGTGGAATCTAAAATAGTCAAGCTCGGCTGGGTGCGGTGACTCACATCTGTAATCCCAGCACTTTGGGAGGCTGAGGCGGGAGGATCACTTGAGGTCAGGAGTTCAAAACCAGCCTGGCCAGCATGATGAAATCCCGTCTCTACCAAAAATACAAAAAAAAAAATTAGCTGGGCATGATGGTGCATGCCTGTAGTCTCAGCTACCTGGGAGGCTGAGGTAGGAGAACAGTTTGAACCTGGGAGGCAGAGGTTGAAGTGAGCCGAGATCGCACCACTGCACTCCAGCCTGGGCAACAGCAAGACTCTGTCTCAAAAAAAAAAAAAAAAAAGTCAAACTCAAAGAAACAGAGTTGAATGGTGGTTGCCAGGGGCTGGGAATTGAGGGAAATGAAAAGATGTTGGCCGAAGAGTGCAAACTTTCAGTTATAAGGAACACATTCTGGGGATCTAATGTACAACATGGTGACTAGAGTTAGTAATACCGTATTGTATACCTGAAGTTTGCTAAGAAAGTAGGTCTTAAATGTCCTCAACGCACACACACAAAGCTAACTATGTAAAGTAATTGATGTGTTAATGATTGTGATAATAATTTCATAATATATATGCATATGAAAGCATCACATTGTATCCCTTAAATACATATGGTTGTCCCTCAGTAACCACAGGGGATTGGTTCTAGAAACTCCTGCAGATACCAAATCCAAGGATGCTCAAGTCCCTTATATAAAATGGTTCGTATCTGCATGTAACCTATGCCCATTATCTCTAGATTACTTATAATACCTAATACAATGCAAATCCTATGTAAATAGTTGTAATACTGTATTGTTTAGGGAATAATGATAAGGAAAAAAGTCCCTACAAGTTCAGCACAGATGCAACTATTACAGGCCTAACTACATTTTCAAACCGTGTTTGGTTGAATCTACGGATGCAAAACCCATAGAAATAGAGGTTCAACTGCAGTCATCCTATTACTGGGCATATACCCAAAGGATTATAAATCATGCTGCTATAAAGACACACGCACACGTATGTTTATTGTGGCACTATTCACAATAGCAAAGACTTGGAACCAACCCAAATATTCATCAATGACAGATTAGATTAAGAAATTGTGGCACATGTACACCACGGAATACTATGCAGCCATGAAAACGATGAGTTCATGTCCTTCGTGGGGACATGGATGAAGCTAGAAACCATCATTCTGAGCAAACTATTGCAAGGATAGAAAACCAAACACCGCATGTTCTCACTCATAGGTGGGAATTGAACGATGAGAACACTTGGACACAGGGTGGGGAACATCACACACCGGGGCCTGTCGTGGGGTTGGGGGAGGGATAGCATTAGGAGATATACCTCATGTAAATGACCAGTTAACAGGTGCAGCACACCAACATGGCACATGTATACATATGTAAAAAAACCTGCATGTTGTGTACATGTACCCTAGAATTTAAAGTATTAAAAAAAAAAAAAAGAAAGAAAGAAATAGAGGGTCAACTGTACGATTTTATCTGTCAATTACACCTCAGTAAAGCTGAGGGTGGGAGTCCAGGAATAAATACATAAACAGATAAATAGTTTGAGTATCTTCTTTGTGGCAGGGGTCAGAGGCTGGGGAGAGGTGGAGATAGGGCAGAGAGCCTTCCCTTCTTTTCCATTTCAATTTCTCCTAGCCTAGAATCTTCTTTTCTTTTAGTATTAATAGAAAGTTCTAATTTTTAATGAGGGCCATCCGTGGTGCCTAGAGATAAAGTAGCCATGGTCATTCAAGAGTGATTTGTCTCCTTGTCCTCCAGAAAACAATCAAAGGCTTGAGATCAACCCCATGGGCCTATATCTACCCAATCAGAACAGTGAGTTATCACAGAACCACAGCTCTATGAATACTTTACCTGGATTTTTTTTTTCCAGAAGGAACATGTTTCTCATGCAGCAATCTTAATAAATGCAAGTGGGCTCCATTTCTTGGCTTTGAGGTAATGAAAAATTAATTACCATACTTTACAAGTAATAGTTTCCACTCACAGCACCCCTTTAGAAGTAAATATATCATAAATAGTTACTATTATACCAATGGCTGGTGGATTGGGCAGCCTGTCGTCCATAAATCTTTTTTCAACAGACATGTTATTTCTTCTGGGGGAACAAACAGATTTGTTTTAGATCAGAGAGTCAACTGACAGATGGCCTTTGTAAAAACACACCATTTGTATAAATAAATTACAGTTTCACGATGGTATTCTGCATTTGTGGATTTGGAAAATCAATGCCCCCATTCTCCAGACTGGGCCTAAACTGTAAAGAGCAATTTTGTTTAGGTGTGAGGTCACATTGCACAGATCTGCCAACACGGATGCTAAAGTCCAAACTCTCTGGATGCTTGCTGCCACTTCTCATCACAATTGTCACAAAGAACTCTGCCTGGAGGTAACAGGATGATCTCCCAGAGAGCTCCGTAATGGATCAGAGCAAGTTACCAACTGGCACACTCCCCTTAGCTCTGGGCTCTGTTTCTATTAAACGTAACGACACCACGTGCCTTATTTTCCTAACCACAACTTTGCATAATTGGGGCTGACAGTGTATTTGTCTTAAAAACCTGAAACACTTCATTTTCTTTTATAATACAATTCATCAGTTAAATGCTAAACATTCAGTAGATTCCTTTAAAATCCAAACCAGCCCTGACTCTGAGCACACTGAAATCTGAGTCATTACTCATCTTACAAGGTATACACATGTAACATATGCATCAAATATTTCTTGATTCATATATAAATGTATATATCTAAATACGCATCTATACACACACATACC